AACCACGTGGGAATCCAGCGCCTTTAACCACCACGCCACCTGCTGCCCACCCCTAACCCCACGTACTTCTTAAGCGCCTGCTGTGAGGGGGGCATCGTGGTAAATGCCAGGCAGGTGACAAGAAATGAGAGAGACCCAGTTCCTGCCACCAAGGCAGTCTGAAGTCTACCTGGAAAGGCATTTTGAGAAACACTTCGACTGGATAGACTAAGTTCTAGAGATATTGGAAGGATTGGTCCCCCCAAAGTTTGGTACACTCCAAAGGTTTTTATCACTTTCAAAAGTTGAAAATGTTAGCTTTTAAAATGATTTATTTTAAAATTAGAATTCTGTTACAAATACAAAGAAAGCATATCAAATGTGAATAATAAGAGATTCTAATTCAGGAGGCGCAGTGGGGGAAAAGTAAACCTGGTATTATCCTCTGGAACGAGCGGGAAGGCTCGGCTTCAATTACGAGCTGCACTGCCGTTTAAGGGCATCGGCTCCGCCCAGACAACATTTTGGTTTCTGGTAGACAGTCCCCTCTGGCAGCTCAGGAACTTAAAACAAAGCCTCTACTTGACTTCTGACTATTACAGAAGGTCCTAATACCACGAGAGACTGGAAAAAAACACATTTTCTGGGGGAATATTAAAAGTCAAGATGCAAGGCCAGCCGGTGGTGCGGAAGTCAAGGTGCTAGATCTCACGTGGCCAACTGAGCAGATTGAGTCCTGGACCCAGGGGCTTGAAAATCATGCCAGGTGCGTGTGCATGCATGTCCAAAATCCAAAGAGGAGAGTGAAAGAGAAGGGTTTGTGGGATGGTCCTCTCCCCCACCGGGGATGATTTCTCTCTGTTTCTGTCTCTCTCCGGTGAGCATATGTGCTTTATAGCAAAAACAAAAAATAGGCAGAAACAACAAGCAAAAGAAACAAAGTCAAGATGTCTGGGCTTCTTTGACTCTCATTAGCACCTTATACATAATCGGATATGTAATGGTTTTAAAGAAAACTGATCACCTTTCTTCTCTGCTGAATCCCCTAGAATGTCCAGCAGAGAGGGGACACACAATAGGTGCAAGAAAACACACACTGAGTTGATGGTCATGCATGAAATAACAGACCTAAGGGAGACGGGGGTTCAAGTGCAGCAGCCACAGAACTAGAAGGCAGCAGAGGGCCCAGTGGGTACCTCCTGGGCAGCACCCATCTTGAAAAGCATTTTCAAAGTATGGCAGGGGAGTTGCATTGGACCAATACTGATCAGAAGAACATGTCAACTCAGGGTAGCGTACAAATCGATTGTGTAATATTACAAACCGATTGTGTAATATCACAAAGCACTGGGCTGGCAGGTGGCACGGTGGTTGGAGCACTGGACTCCCACATGGCTGACTGCAGTTTGAGTCACAGACTTGGCAGCTTGCTTTCTTATTTTCCCTTTCTCTCTCTCTTTGGTCAAATATAATAATAAAGACAAATAAAATGAAATAATTCTTTAAAAGTAATAGTAATAAGCAAAATGAAATAAAATAGCCCTTAAAAAAAGTACCACTGTATTAGAGAAAGTTCTGAATCTGGAAGCACTAAATACACACAAACACACACACACAGATTTACAAATGTATGTTAGGTATACATACATCCTAGAATTAATGTTCTAGAACTGTTGTTTGAATTTGCCTTTAACAGCAAGGAAAATACGTTTTAGCTTTTTTTTAAAATAGTCAAGAGAAAAATCAAGAAATCAAAACCAGTGGAAAGATGCAAATGCTTACTGAGACAGCAGGGAGGCTTTTCAGTACCTTTCAAGAAGTTTAAGTTCTGCAGAGGTCAATTAGGTAGACTAATTACTGTGTTCTACTTTTCATCAGAGTGGTCTCCACTGATCAATACTGATTTTTTTTTCCAGGTGCAGCAAAAAATGCATTCACATAAACAAGACAAGTTGAGACCATTTACCCGCGACCTAATGGAAAGGACTGCATACGAGATGAAGCAGCTGACGGAGCTCCTCACGGCCACGCTGATTTAAAGCCACCTGTCCAACACGCGTGTGTTTTAGAAAAACCAACCCAGCACTACAGTGCCTGGTCCTCTGCAGCAATCTAGTGCCCCACAAAGGTAATGACTGCTAGGTCACCAATCTCTTTCAGCTCACACTAAATGCAGAGGTGCTCATATTGCTGGGCTCAGAAAAAGACTCGATCTGTGAAACTGTAGCGTTCAGTCCCTGGGAGCAGCAGAAACAGGAAACGTGCATCAGCAGGCTCTGGGAGGGGAAAATGCAACTGCTTTTAGTTATTCCACACGAAGTGTGCTGACCGATCTCTGCCGTAGGGGCATGACGAACACACTGTCGGGCAGTGAGGTGCCTGTGAGCAGAGCAGCGGGAGCCCTCTGGACCCAGAGCATGCCCACCTCCTGTCTCCATCTGCATGTGTGTGGGGGGGGGGAAGGGGACCTGAGCCACACTTGTCACTGGTTCTCGCCTTTCTTCCAAACCAAGTAGTCAACAAACTGTGTCCGGCCACGCAGTTATAATCTTACCTTTAGCTGAAACTCAAGGACCTGCTCTGTGGGAAATTGAGGAGACACAGACACCGGAAAAGGAATAGAGGATTGGAGAGGGTCAAGGAAAGCGCACCTCTGGGTTACTAAAGTGACTCTGAACACCACCCCCTTTTCTCTCTCTCTTTTTAAATAGAAATACAGTTGCCAAAGAGAAAGCAGCAATTTAAATGCCAAAAGCACCAGGCAGAGCTGAGGGAAGGAGGGGTGTGCAAGTGATTAATTACACTCACAGCGACTTCTTTCCATACTGCACGGCTCCCATCCTGGGGCTGAGCAGACTTGCCAACTAGTTACTTGTGAATCATCCTCCACTTGCCTAATTTCCCTTCAAAGTTTGTACTCAGCAATTTGCACTTACTTAAATACCAACTTACATGGTTTTGTTTTTAAGGGGAAAAGAAGGAAGGAAAACTGGCTCTGTCTCGGTGCTGCAGCAACTACATCGGCCGCTTGAAGCACTACTTGTGCGCTGCAGTCAGAATTCAGAATGCAACGGCTCCTTTTAGAGTGCATGTAACAGCACTGATTATAAGAAGAAATGTAGGAACTCGATTTTGATAATGAATTGAGGAAACTAACGAGGGTCATAGAATTGGCCGTCAGATGTCAGTTTTTATGAATGCTATCTGCTGTTAATTCCTCCTAAAGTACCCAGATCATTTTCATATGGCCTCTTTAAATGTATTAAAAGTTCTTAAATAATGTAGAATTATTCCTTTTTATTTTGTACGAACCTACTATACTATTCTAATAATTATTCCTTATTTATTTATTTATTTTTTATGTGGCAGGAACCAAAGCAAGAAAAATAGGATTTTTTGTTTTATTTTATTTTTTTTAAGAGAGTTTTTTTTGCACATGCTCACCAGAGACACAGAAAAAGTGAGAAATCACCCCTGGGGGATGGCCACACCACAAGCCCTTCTCCTCCATTCTCCTCTTGGGATTTTGAGCATGCATACACATGTGCCCAGTGTGAGTTTCAAGCTACTGGGTCTGGGACTCGAACAGCAGTCAGCCATGTCAAAGTCCAGTGCCTTAAGCACTAAGCCATTTGATGGCCCCAGTAATTATTCTTTAAAACTTACTTGTATTTTCTCCACTGCTAATTTTCCAGTCCATAATTGTGATCTAATTTTTCTCTTAAAAATTGAGCCCCATTGTGAGTTTTGGGTCCAGCAAAATCTTAAAAGCAAACTGAGTGCCCATATACTGCCTGGCCCACTACCCTCACCCTCTTCCAGGTCCCTGGAGTCTTAGCTCAGAACCCGGACCTCTGGGGAAACACCAACCCCAGCCCACAACGAGGAAATGCCACTACAGCCAGGCCAGCATTGCTTTCCAAAACATGGCAGCTCATCCTATGTGAGGTCTTAGAAACTTTCACCACGGAGCACCTGGGGGGGTTGGGGCAGGGAGTTCTGAGCACAAGTCTTTAGCAAAGTGTACCAGTAAGTGGGTTTGCCTCGGGAAACCTATTCTATAAGGCAACATACAATATTCAGGTTGTAAGGTGCACTCAGAGTGGTAAGATATCACTAAATGCAGGGTAAATGAGAGTGTTAAACTTAGTGTTTACTAGCTGTGAAGGATCTAATCTAAGTCAGCACTTAGCGTTGCACTCTTACACAAATTCTCGGAGTTTATGGCTATAGGAAACTCCGGTAACCAATGTCAGAACCCTTTTTAAGAAAAATAATCATGGCTCAATAAATATTTAAAAACTTAAAACAGATATTTAAAAGTTAAAACTGAGAATCAGGCAAGCATGTGGACAAAAGCAACAGTGCACATTTTTATGTGATAGGAACCAAAGCAAGAAAAAGATGTTCCACAGAAACATGCCCAGGACTGTGGGTTCCTGGTGGTAACAACAGAGCTCTGCCCACTGACACCCGTCATGCACAAGGGGTGTCCTGTGACACGGATGCTGTGGTAAGAGTCAGAGTTCGCCAGTGTGAAAGGCAGCAGATCATCAAGAAAGCAGTGTCTGAGATTCTGCGTGGCCCCTACAAAGACAGGAAATGCAAATTCACCATGCACACATACACACACGGTCCCACAGGCTGATGGGACATCGACTACGGAAATCAAAGGCCGCTCTGCTGGTAGGAAAGCACCACCTGCAAACGAGGGTGAGCGACAGAACTCACACCTAACGCTCCCTCTGAAGAATAAGAATTTCTTCAAAAAAAAAAAAAAAAAAGAAAAAAAGAATTTCTTTTCCAGCTGATGTCTACACTGAAATGGTATTATATAGAGGTCCCTAGCCCAGACAACCCTTTGCTGCATAAGGAACATGGAAAACTGCTACAAAATGAAAATCACTGTTACACAGCTACTCAGGATAACAAAAACCACAAAACCTATTTTTCTGAACAAAAGACTCAGATGAAATCCATTTCCCAAATAATTTGAAGCAAGGGTTACAAAAGCAACTCACCTGGAAATCCTGGTCGTCGATCCCAAACCTCTCCCGCAGATTTCGGAAAACCATCGGGCAGTACTCCTTGAACTTGAAGTGGCTCGGCATGTTTTCTCTGAAACAGTCACAGGGTGCGGTGAGGACTTGAACCTACCACCACATAGTGTTGTGTGTCGCCCAAGACGTGGTGGGTCTTGCTACCTACAGAAGGCACAGGTGTATTTCCTGGAACCAGGGATGACCCACAGTAAGATCTAGGAGACAGGAGGGGACAGGCTGATTCCATTTGTCCCCTCTGTCACAGGCACACTGAGAGTAGGGTCCACTTTCATCCTAGCAACACGTGATAGCCATGTCCCAGGGAAGGAGATGTGGGAAGGGAAGGGGCTGGGCAGAGGGAAACAGGGAAGGGAAGTACAGATGTGATGGACTTCAGAGAGGGCAGCAGGGGGCCAGCAGATGGCGTAATGGTTACATCGCTGAGCTGCGGTTCAAGTCCTAGACTCAGCAGCTTAAAATGCACACCGGGTGCATGCGAATGCGTGGGACAGAGGAGAAGGAGCTGCAGTGTGGCTGTCCCTGCTGAGGGGTGATTTCTTGTTTTCTCCCTCTCTGGTGAGCGCACGCGCCCTATAGCAAAAATTGCTTGGGGGAATTAAGAAAAAGGGGCAGCAGAGCGAGCTCCAAACAGCAGGCACCGGTGCTCTCAGTGCTCAGCCAGGATGGCTTCAGTCACCTGGTTTATAGAAATACCACACCCTACATTGCACAGAGAACAACCCCCTCCAGAAGGTAACCTGTAAATGGTATGATGGGAAAAATGAACACATCAGCTTTGCGTGAGAACCGTGGCCCATTGAGAAACTTCCTCACTGATCTTCACGTGGGAGCCTTTCTTTGAGACTCACGTACCCATTCAGAATTGCTTCCTTCTCTGTGTTCTGACAGAACTATGTAACACACGTCTCTATCATTATACTTTGTACCCTGAATTACAGTAATCTGTGTGTGTGTATAGGTGTGCACATGTGTGAGTTTCCAGCTCCGGGCCTGACTGCAAGCCCCTTGGGGGCGGGGCCACGTCTTGCTATCACGTCATCTCCCATTCTTGATGGACTACCTAACGTATAATAGGTGCTCCACGGTGGCACCTAAAATGACATTCAGAAGAAAGAGAAACTCTCTGCCCGTCACGTCTTATAAAAATCTGCTTCGGGTCTTTCCTGTGCTATGATGCAGTCATTTCTGCTCATAAAGTCATCATGTTCAAAGTGTTGCAAAAGCGAGCAGAGGTTCATAACTGCTCAAAAAATCCAAGCAATTTACAGCTTCAAAAATGTAAATTGTAATGAGGATATCACTTTTAACGTATAAGATATTCATAGAGAACAATATGCCATATGGCGAAAGGATATTATCCCAGAGGGCCTGCTGTTGCTTTTCTGAACATGACAGATGGTTATGTTTATCACAGGACTAACTTCATCAGCAAAACTTTACTCCCACCCATTGAAAAATTATATGATTATAGAAAGTCACAAAAATCATACTCCTGGAAGCCACGCCAGTTCTATGAGAGGCTGTGCATGTACTTACTTGTTGAAAAGGTGATTGTCCACCTTTATCTTTGAATAGGCTTTGAAGTCGTCTGGCATCAACATAACAGGAATTTGGACGTGGCTCAGTTCATTGATCTAAGAAAATACAAAAGAAACAGCACGGGTTATTACTGTCTTGGTGGGGAGGGCTTGCCTTCGATGTGTCCCCTGCAGAGAAATCCTGGACATAGAGGAACTTCTCTTCCACCCACACGCTTTCCGCCCTCTCCTGTCCCAAACTTGTTTTGTCTGCTTCCCTCAGTCCTGTCTGATTATACTGGTGTCTCTTCTCTATTAACTCCAACTCCTACTTCTTGTCACCGTCTGCGCTGGGCCTACAGTGGCTGCAAGAGGGCAGTGGTGAGGGATAAATTCAGGAAGGTTCATGTCCTGCTTCTCCTCCAGAACCTTAACCCAGAACCCCTTTGATCACAAGTCCAAGACAACTTCCCTTTGTAAAGAAAATGTTTTCTGAGAAAGGGGACTTTGGAATTTTTGATATAAGTATTGGTTGAGCTAAAAAACATGATTTGTTGATTAATGGGCATGGCTTATACTTTTGGGTACTCAAAGCACAACACTGTCATTCACGTTGTCTTTATCTTTCTTATGGGAACTAAGTAGGGAAATAAATATTGGGGTTGAGGCATGAATTTACCAGAAGAGGAGCCTTCATTAAGGTAGGGAGGAAGACATATGGCCCGGACTAAATAAGAGGAAGATGGGTTAGATCCGGGTCTAGACCAGATGCTAAGATCTGGTTTCAGAGGACAACGGGTAGAATCCAGCTCTGCACATTCTGGGGAAGGCAGGGGCAGCAGCTGACACGGGACGGACAACTCTGAACTTTCTCGTGGTTACTTTCGCATCTCAGTTCCCAAGCTACAGCTCCCTTGTTGCTAGCCATGAAAGCCCACTTTAAAGATTTAATCTGCTGGCAGGATGGAGGGTACTAGGAAGGATTCCTTAGCTACGAAAACACAACAGGTCAACAACAGCAAGAGTTCCTTGATCGAACAGAGCTCTTAACACATGGTTGGGTTTACAGAAAGCAGAGGAAGCTCCAGGACACCTTCCTTCTCCCAAGTGAGTTTAAAAGGGAGGGTGTGGGAACCAGCAGTTAGCGTAATGGCTATGTCGCTGGACTCCCACGTAGTCGACCGTGGTTCGTGTCCCAGACCCGGTGGCTTAAAACTCACGCCGGGCGCGTGTGTGTGCGTGCCCAAGATCCCGAGAGGAGAGTGGAGGAGAAGGGATTGCGGCGTGACCATCCCCCCTGGGGGGTGATTTCTCGCTTTCTGTCTCTATGTCTCTCTCTGTCTGTCTGGCGAGCGCACACGCGCGCCCTACAGTGAAAATCTCTCCAAAAAAAAAAAAAAAAGGGAGGGTGTGACCATCAGGCAAGCCTGACAAGAGAAGTCTCTGAAGACCGATGCATTGCATCACTTCCTGGGCCAAAAGAAAGCCGTGGGACTCAACCAAAGGCTTCCACAGTATCGGAGCTCTTGAAGGAAGTCTCTGAGGGCGATCCCAACACCTGGCAGGGGTAAAAGCAAATAGCCCGTGGGGAAAGCATCCCCAGGCCAAGCCTCCAGGATTCCCACAGATTAAGTCAAGCACACCTGAACTCACAGAGATAAAAAATGAGATATTTTGCAGACTTTAGTTACCAGGATGATCAGAAACAGGACGTAAAATGAAAGCTCTTTGTGAAATACATAAAGAAACAGAAGCAAGACTATGAAAGATGAGTAAATACTTGACGATACCATGACTGAGAATCTCCCATAGCCAAAGAAAGTTAGGAATCTACGCATTCAAGATTTTCAAAGTAACACGAGTAAGGCTATTCGGGGCACACCTAGACACGCCACTGTTCAGGAAAGCCGAGAGCAAAAGTGAAGTGATTCCTGAGGAGCAGCAGGATCGATTTCAAAGCATGGGGTTCACTCGGTGGGATCATCCAGACCTCAGTTTCTCCTTCACGCTGCTGAAGTCAGTACGGCATGATAGTACCTGCTTCAGAAAGTACGCGGAAGGGAAGCTTTTGGAATCCCTGTTGCTTCACAGTACCTGCCGTGGAAAAGTGTTCAACCAAAATGTCACAGGTAAACTGCACATTTCGCTCACTGACACTCTCTCATCCACGCAGTGTCTGAACGTCTAAACTCGGACACTAGACTTCGCCCTCGCGGGGCTTACAGTCCACAGGGCAGACAAACTAACGGAAGGAGGGCAGAAATCTGAAATGATAACGACGACGAGTGCCAGGAGGGAATGACCCATGTCAGGCTATACACAAAAACGAAAGAGGCCGCCCAAGCTGAGGGGACAGGCAAGGTTTCCCGGGGTGAAGACTGGAGAGGAGCACACAGTGGAGGATGGGGAGGCAGGCCTACAGCAGGAGGGACGTGGCTAGAATGGCATGGCCAGATGCACTGGACAGAGCCCAGCTCGCAAGTCCGTGGGAGGGGGACGACAGCTTGGGTGGACGTGGCAGAGACGGAGGCGGTAGGGAGACCCGAGCTACACCGAGGTGGTAAAAGCACCAAGCCTCACTGATGGACGAGAGCAGCAGGGGCCACGGAGGAGGAACTGAAGACACCACCACAGCTCCGGCCTGCAGACGGCAGCGATTCTGCTTACGGACAGAGACCATTTTAAAAGAAGTGTTCAGTTTTGAGTTTAAGTTTGATGTATTCTGGAGCCATCCAGGTGTCCACATCAGGTAGGCAGGTGGACAGGTGGGTCTAAAGTTCCCAGAGGCAGGGGCTGGGGTAGCGTGTATCTGTGCAAGACAGAAGCTTCACGCAGGACTGGACGAGGAGGATGCACAGAGGGAATAAGGTAGTTCCCATCCACTCGTTTCCATTTTCTCTGGGAAGTAGGGGCCTTGGCCGTCTGCTGAGAGCAAGAGGCAGGCCGAGGGCCGGCCAGAGCCTTAGTGAGAACACAGCTTGACCAAGTGATCAGAGAATGCGTTAGGGCAAGTTTAAAGAGAGACAGGGCTGGGCTTTGGGGCCGGGTTGGCAGACCATTCGCAGTTCACAATAGCTGCATTACAGGGTCCCACGTCAAGCTGTGGAGCGCAGCAATGACAGAGGATGCTTCCTGTCCTTCAGGCTTGAGGCTTTTGCTGGTGGAGTGTGACCCAAATATAAAGGAGCTCCAGGACAATCACTCGGAAGTGGGAAGTCAGCACCAAACACAATCCCGGACCATGAGGAGCTCCCCAGCGTGGGCGGACAGGGCTGGGCATTCGCGAACAGTCGCAGACAAAGCACAGAAGACACGCCGGAATCTGGACAGTGAGGCCCACGGGAATCAGGGCTGGAGGGCCGCTGTGACAGGTGAGGCTGGGGGGCTTCTGAAAGAGGGGGACGCTGGCGGGACTGTCAGGGCTGGGAAGTTGTGAGCAGTGTGCCATGCGCCTGTCTGGGCAAAGTAGGCATTTAGTTCTATCTACATTTCCCATCCTCAGAAATAAGACTGCCCCCAGAGACAAGGAATGTTTAACTCTCATTTTTAGGCTTAAAGAGAAGACAAGAAAAGATGAAAAACCAAAGACAATTACACTGATACTTTGGTTTATCTTCTGGGTTGTTGAGAAAGTCATGATGCACTTTTGCATAGAAAAATACGTCAGGACTTTCCCGATGACCTAATAGAACCTCAGATATTAAAATGAAAAGAGAACCTCAGAGACCCCCCGGTCTCGTTTCATCCGGTGGACGATGCTACATCCGGGCATAGCTGTGCCAGTACATCTGCGAGTGCTGGCGGCCACTGGGTTACGCGAGGTACCTACTGCAGCTCCCTTCCCGACTGCTCTCCATCACAACACTTTCCCATTTCTCTGGAATTTCTCTGGCCCCATCCCTTTATGAAATGTTCCCTCCAAACCTCCTGTTCTGGGGAACAACTAGATTTAGTGACCTGTGAACGAGTATCACAAGCCAGAGATCTGCCACTTAAAAGAAGCTTTCAATTAGTCAACTTTTTTTGTTTTCAGTAGTGTACGATGAGCCTCTCTATATTTTTTTTCTATAAACACATTTTCTTTTGTTGGATATGAGGCTCATCAGTCAAGTACTTGTCAGTTTTTATAGAAATTCATTCATTATAGTGTGGCTTGATTTTTTTTTTTATACAAGTTTTTGTCAAAAAGAGAGAGAGAGAGAGAGAGAGAGAGAGAGAGAGACCGACAGACAGAGAGACAGATACAGTGAGTTTTGAAAGTGAGGAAACACCCCACAAGGGGAATGGTCATGCCACAATCCCTTCTCCTCCATCCTCCTCTTGGGATCTTGGGCACGTACACACACACACACACACACACACACACACACACAAAACCGGCGTGAGTTTCAAGCCACTAGGTCTGGGACTCGAACCATGGTCGGCCATGTGGGAGTCCAGTGACATAACCGCTATGCCATCTGCTGGCCCCATATAACGCTGCCTGATAACTGAAAGGCTGCTCTTCCTGGGTAACTCTCTCCTTCGGTAAATAACCTGCCGCCACACAAACTACATTACATTTTGTCTCGTGTCCAAGCTCATGGGTCGATGCAGGTGGTGAGGAGGAGCTGTCATGAATAAGGCCGGGCTGATACTGCTGGCCGAGTTCTATACGCACGGACTTACTTCAAAAATTTGTGGAAAATAGAATTAAAGTCTAAGTTAATTTCGGTGTAAAATTTTTAAAAATTCACGTGCAGTTTTTTTATAGTACGTATTTTCCATGAACTTTTGGAGACCATGTATTTCATATAATGTTCTTAATCGTAAATTTTTAGATTTCAGGACAAAATTCATGAGTTTTAAAGTCTTCAACTGACAAAATTCTAACTTGTTAATTTGGCATTCTACCTAGAACAACCATTATATATGGCCCACCTCAAAATTGTTAACAAAACTAATAATGGTTTATTATCTCTAGTTTATATTTCTCATCAGTACTTTTTTTCTTTATAAAAGAGAGAGAGAGGGACCAGCAGTTAGCGTAATGGCTATGTCACTGGACTCCCATGTAGTCGACGTTCACATTCCGGACCCGGTGGCTTAAAACTCACGCCAGGCATGTGTGCGTGCGT